TGACTGCTCATGAATGGCAAATGTTAAACGCGTTCAGCGAAATTTGAAATTTGATCGTGATTTAAACAACTTCAAAACTTGTTCAGTGTCCCTACTGTACCTAGGCTATGTAGGCCTAGGTCTATATTTATAATAGTAGTAGCCTGGTAGTAAAATGCTAGCCTATGCTAGTTGACAGTTCACGAAGAAATGTTTAGAATAAAGGCCTAAATTTAATTATTTTTGTTGTTGGGGAAACCCAATGTTTCTTGTATTTTAGTAGGCTAGGCCCTACCGTTACATGTAGGTTTTATAGAAGAGAAAGCAATCGCCAGTAACCTTGCTACCCAGATTATATTGTGCGATGTTCGAATTGACCTATCAAAACAAGTACCTTTTGCCCAACTTTCTAATTCCCACGTGCCTGCACAGCCCGCACAATACAGCATGTAAACACTGACCTGGATCAGCCGCAGTTGAAGAAGTTTGTTGTGGCGATCACATGATATCGCATGTAGAACAACGTATGCTACGGCATTGTGTTTTACTGTGTAGGCTATATGAATTTAATACATGTTTGTATTATTATATATATTATTATGTTTTAAAAATGGTTAAACCACGGCACATGTTTATATTGCTGAACAAGGCAGTCGGCTATTCCCTTCTTGCAGAGCAGTAGCGTTTACATTCCTGAAGGCGGCGTTCAAAGAATCAGATCAGACACTAGAGCGTCTACATTCCTGAGTTGGCGGCGTTTAAAGAGAAGTCTACTGTATGTGATTGACCTTGTGTCTGCTTCTCTCATGCTTCTCCTGATCGTGGGAACCTACTTGTGTGGGAACGTTTCTCACTGAATTCACTGTTACTAGGCAATTTGCAGTAATGCAAACTGGTGGTATATGCCTATTTCAAATAGTTTATTTCTGTTCATGACAAAGTAAGAATATCGATACAAAACAAAGTGAATTGATTTTATTTCTGAACGGGACCGGTAGCGGCAGGATTTGGCAGATGGGGATACGATGTCTCCGACAGGGTTGGCAACAAAATCGTAAGTGGGCGTGGTCGGGCGTCGCTCAAAATTTCTGGAATTGTTTCAGAGTTGAAACCCCGAAAATTTAAAGGTATCAAAGGCTTATTTAATCAATTTTCGTGTCTTCTAATATATCACAAAAATACATAACTTTTTCTTCCCCTCCCCCCATCATTTCGGCAGAAAAGCCAGTTTGTTTGTATATAATTATCAACCATAACAGCATAACGGGGGGGGGGGCTATAGTGAATGCATCAACACCTACCATGTTGATATATTCACTATTATATTCAATAAAGATTTTTGTATCGCCCCATGCGTATCGTATTTTCTGATGTAGCCAAATGTATCTAGAGGAAGAATAGGGTAGGCCTCGTATATAATTTTTATCCATGAACACTATAAATTGTATGCAATGCTTGTATTTAATGGGCCTAAATAAATCATCGGGAATATGCATCGATAACTTAAATAAAATCACGAGGCAAATATTAAAACAGTGTAAATATTTATTTCATTTCCTTCAACTTAAATTATATACCGGGATGGTGTCCGACGGGGGATAGTTTTTACTATCATAGTTTAAATTTTATCTATCAGAATCCAGCCCCGAATCCTAGACTCATGTATTTAAAGCGGTCTGTAGCATGTGTATACAGCATATATCTGTATTTTTTTTTCGATGGATAAATAAATGTCCGAATATAAGAATTGAATACTGTTTTCTGTACACTACATGTTTGTTTGGGTCAGTTAAGAATTAGCACCTAATTAGGCCTATTAATGAAATACAACGGTACACGAACATTCACTTGTAAGTTTTATTTATATTTTGACATTAACATAGGCCTTTAACACTCAATATTATTTTTATTTAACATAAAAGCCAATAAACAGCTTCCACACATAAAATAACAGTAGGCCTAACCAATAAAAATATATAAAATACAAAACAAGATTTATGCAAGATTAAAAAAATTAAACTATACAGAAGTCGCCGCCCGGCAAGCAGACAAGGCCATACATTAAACTGGCATCCAGGCACTCCATCGAACGTCCTATTGTTAGCATCTCAACTGACCCACTTCTGTCAGAGCGGCGTTCAAAGCGAATTTCTATAGACCAAGGAGGAAAGTTCTTTCCTCCATGTATAGATCAACACCGGCCACACAGTCAGTGACATTTGTCACGTGATGTTGGTTGCATACTCTGTTGGACTGATCACATCCACACACACGAGGTACCCAATATTAATTGTACAGTAGTTGCATAGGCCAGGGAGTTGTTATCTATAACAACTCTCTGCATAGGCCTAGTTGCTGTATATAATATATATTGATGCCTACGTTTAATAATAGAGAAAATAGATGTTCTATTTTCTCTATAGGTTATTGAATGATGTTTGGCGAATACTGGCGTCCATTTGTGTTCCCATGTGATATGTGTACAGGGAGTTGATAAATGTTTTTTTTTTCATTCGTCGTCAGCTTCTTAGCTGGTAGGCTGCTATTTAACGAAGATAGGTCTTTCTGACAGAGCAAACGGCAATTAGGCCTACATGCATGTGCTGCCATTATCGTCATTTACCACTTAATTTAACTATTAGGACTATACAGCCTTTAAACTTTGAACTTGGTTCATTTCAAAGTAAAACTTGTTCAGTATTTTAAATTGTACAAAAATGGTAGTTCAATCGGGGCCTGGTCTAACGACACAGACGCGTTTGTCGCCCAAAACAATAGAAACAATGGCAAACGCGTTAAACAGCACAAACCTGTTTAGACGCGTCTGGGACATATTTCGACTAGCTTATTTATATTCATGAGGCACGATAATTAGACAATTGCTTTCCCAGACGCGTTTGTAATACATGGTGTTCCCAGACGCGTTTCTGTCGTTGGGGATAATTTGTAGATCGCACCTAAAATAGACTATGCCATGACATTGAAACATGTCAAAGGTTAGAAACAGCATTTCCATTTATTTTTAGAAAAAAATGTCTATTAGAGTATAGAAACAAGGAGGTTCCAAACAAATTGGCACCAAATTTAACTCTCTACCACCAGTGGTTTCGGAGATAATAACAACTCAATGGTTATGATATATAAACCATATATCTTTTTAGTAAAATATTCTATTAGAGCAAATAGAAACATGCATGTTCCGAACAATTTGGCACCAAAATTAACTCTCTACCACCAGTGGTTGCAGAGATAATAATGACTCAATGGCTACCAGATATAAAATATGTCAAAGGTCAGAAATGGCATTTTTGGTCATTTTAAAAAAAAATTCATTTATTAGACCAAATAGAAACATGAATGTTCCGAATAAATTGACACCAAAATTACCCTCTACCACCAGTGGTTGCGGAGTGTTAAGGACAATAAGGCTGCGACCTTGAAGCATGTCAAAGGTCAGAAACAGCATTTTCGGACATTTTTTAGCAAAATGTTCTATTAGGACAAAAAGAAATATGCATGTTTGGCACCAAATTCAACTCTCTACCATCTGTAGTTGCGGAGATACAAGGACCTTATAGCTTTAACCTTTGACCCTGACCTTTTACCACATTTTAAAAATATGTTACCAAGCCAAAAATGATTCTTGGACCACCCTGAACCAAATTCTCTGCACCTCAAAGTGCATACAAAACCTGGTCTGGCTCCTAGGGTAATATAGTTGATATGCATTTTTTTTTTTTAATTAGGTATTTCATTAAATACTTTATCTCACTCCCTGCTGTGAAGCGCAGGGAGTTACTGTATTTACATTATGTGCTATATAAGTTCACGATTAATATTCAATACGATTTGTTTTGGGCTAGACGTCTGTAAATAACGCGATAATGATGAAAATTAGCTGGTTTTACAAGTTTTCTGGGGCTAAAAATTCTCACAGTTATCCAATAAAATTACTGTATGTAACCTACAAAATGTTGGAAATTTTATTACCTACATGATTATGCTAATCTTTATCAATTATTATTATTATTATTTAGTCCAGTATTAAAGTAATCTTATTTTACCGTGTTTTGAACGCAAACTTTTACTTCCGAGACATGTAGCGCCCCCTATAACACATCATTTGAGTTATATAACCTATCAATCGATTCATTATTTTACTGGCTTTCGAAATTTTTAAAAATTAGTTTGATTGGACAAAAGTTCTGACCGGCATGCCCCTTGAGCAGTCTAATCACGAGTAGCTAGGCCTTAGTCGATCGTAATTAATACGATCATACCGTGCAAGACTGAAATTCATCCAAAATCTCAAAATCATAAGTCGTTTCATCATTACGAAAATAAAAAGAACCTCCCGGCCCATGGCCATGAGATTAAATTTACGGTAGGAACTTATACAAAAATGTCAACCCTTGCTAAGTGTGGGTGATCCCAAAAACTTGCGCTGAACGGTGTTGAAAGCGATTACATTGGAAAACAAGCTCTGCGTTCAATGAAATAATTTTACTGTTGTGCAAAACAAATCATATTGACTATTATTTTAATTATTTTTTGTTTGAATTTATCAAAACTGATGTAATTCAACAGAATGTAATATTAAAATCTTTTTGTATAAGAATTGATTGAAAAATGTTAATTGAACACACAATCTTCCGATTTAGTAATAGTTGGAAGTGATATGACTTTTTCATAGAAAAGACTTCCTAACTGCAATGACTGGGAAACAGTCAAGAATTAGAAAAATAAGCTATAGCATCTTGTAGCACATGCTCAGATGTAGTAATTACTTTATTTTAATTTATTTCCAAAACAGAATTTTATAAATCATCCAATAACAAATGGCTATATTAAAATGTATTATATACAATACTAATAACAATTAAATTGGACAATAAATGTAAGTTAATCATATTATCACAGTGTTATATAGTAGGTAAAATCCAAGAAAATAGCAGTCTATAAAAATAATATCAATAATGTATTACTCATATTGAAATGAAATTTGAGAAATAAATGCTTACTTTTGATCATGGCGCATCTGTCTTTCTTGTTTTTGACGCTCTACCTTAGCATCTTCTTTAGCCCATCTTAAAAGAACAGAAAAATGAAACATTAGTCCAACATACTGTAAGGGAGCGTCGCCAAATTATCCTACCGCGGTAACACAAGGCTGTATATGCAGAAAATTTGCATATCACATTGCATACAAGTCTACCGCGGTAGATAGAAACTGCCTTAGGGCCAACTGTAGAGTGTAACCTTAGAACCAAGGACATCAACCTAGTTCTTTAGTAAACAGAGTGATTAAATAATTACTGAAGTGTGCTCATGACATGATATCGAC